TAATGGGTATTCGTACGCAACCATGGTTCAATCTGTGAGCCGAAAAGTTTCTTGGTAAAGCCGTGGCATGTTACGATATAGGCGTTTTTTCTACTACAATAAAGATCCTAGCTACACAGCTTTATATTATCATCTATAGCCATCGCCATCGCCATCGCCATCACCACACTCTCGTCACACGACGCTCGGTGTTCAATACGCCACACCACTTCGCCACTTCATCCATCTCAGTCCCACCCTCAATTGCGCTCTTGCCTTCAACTACTACAAGATGGCCAACACTCAACACCGAGGCTTCCTCACTCTCCCAACTGAGCTGCGCTTGGAAGTATACAAGCGGCTTATAGCTGCATGTCTTGCCGACGGCTATCCACATCACGCGGGAGGATTATTACGGTCCTGCACCAAGATCCACGATGAGATGGCAGAGTATATTGTCAGAATTCTGCCTTTCATCAAACTTCAACACTACTGGATACGAAATACCGAATCGATGGATTCATTACACGCATATCTTCCTTCGACCTACGAGTTCACCACGCCGCCAGAAGACGCCACGCTGCTGATACCCGTCAGCAAGATTATCGAGCATTGGGGAGCCCGCCGTGTCTTTAATGACATGTGCATTTCACTTCTTCACGCCGCTCCCACCCAGCTACGATCCCTCACCCTTGGATTCTACTATTTCCTCCCAGACATGAACGAATCATGGCGTGCTAATATCCGCCGAGTCAGCTGCTTTTTCCATTTGATACGTCAAATGTTGATGGAAGCAGAGCAGTGCCACCTGAAAAATGTCGGTCGTTTGATGATAGACTTGAGTAATCATGGAGCACCTCCCAGTTCGATAGGCGCAGTTGAGGGCACTAAATGCCTTTGGACGACGTTGGAATTTAGGTACAAACATTCCAAGTGAATGGGAAGAGGACAGAAACAAGATTCGGCAAGGCGGCATTGTCACCGCTCCATAACAAGTTGACAAACTCAGCCTTTCACCGTCGCCTGCTTATCGTGTACTTCGCTAGCGCTGCAGCGTATTTGCTCGCTGGATTACCAAACTTCGCAAACTCTACTCCACTTTCATCTTCAACAGACCGCCAATTTCCCGACAGAGACTTCTCAACTCACCACAGACCAGAATTCAGCGCCATGGCAAAAGACAAGCCTTCCGCGTTCCTCGCGCTACCAGCAGAACTACGACTTCAGATCTATAGCAATCTTCTAACCGAAACCCTGGAAAATGGACGCACCTCCGATGTCGGTGCTCTATACCTCGCTTCCCGCACAACCTATTCCGAAATGAAGCCACTCGTCTCAACAGTACGAGTAGCCCTCGACCTGAAGCGCGCCTGGGATCACTCTAGACGGCTCAGAGGCGAAGTCAGAGGACGACTGTGCTTCCAAATACCACCCTCACACACCTACATCAATCCGCTCACCGAGTTCGCCATCACCGCACCGCGCGATCGCAAACGCAGAAATCCCGTTCAAAGGGCTAAGCATGACATGCTGCGTCGCACAGAAGACTTGGCGGTTTTCGGTCTCCGTCTCCTGCTCTGCCCTTTCGGGTTCGGAGTGGAACGTCGATATACCAATAAACAACTCCTCGCGTCTAGCGATTTCTTCTTCCGCGCCTTCTACCAGATATGGGGAAAGGAGTTTCTGGAGAAGGCTAGGCAGAAGAGATACATTGATCGGTTAACCTTTCAGAAGGATTCCCACGTGGAGGATAGATACATTGTGAAGATTGTGCACGGGAAGCAATATGGGGGCATGTATCTTCCTGCCTCCGGGGCTTTTTATGGTCCGTGGTGCTTTCTCACTGAGGGATCGACGAAGAGGCTTTGGGGAGTAGATTTTAGGGGCGGATTGAAGCTGCCGGGGTGGAGGCATGAGCGTATAGATTGGTTTATCAGGGGTAGTGCTATTTGAGGGGTTTATGTCGACTGAGTTTGCAGGGTTAGATGAGGATTGCGTACCGGCCTTTCGGACTGTATGTCGCTATATTGTCAAGGACATGTTATTGCATTATCATGGTGGCGTATTGATGCAAATACAGGTAGCGAAGTTTAGGCGTCTAACACTGTACAATTTTTGCAATCATCAATCTCAGCTCTTGTCCATGTAACTTCGCGCAAATCACCATCCAAACTGTTTGTGCTCACTTCCTACATAGTGAACACACCCGTCACATCGTTATTGATTCAACAAGTGATCTTCTCTTTGCTCTTAAGCCGAGTTCGTTTCTTCCATTACATATATTGATGTACAAGATTAGGAGACATTAACTGTGACGATCACTTTCCCTCACCTTGGTATTGAAACAACTCACACATTATACAAAACATGTTTCTCACTCTTCCAACGGAGCTTCGACTCGAGATCCAGAAACACCTCATCGTCGAAAGCATCACTTCTGGACGTCCACAGAATATCTCCGGCCTTTTCTTTAGTTGCCGTACTACGTACAACGAAATGGAGGAAGATATAGCTAAAGTTAAACCTCTAATCCTTGCTACTCGAAAGTGGCAAGATGAGCATCCATACGGCCGTTGTTTGAAGATCGAGTCATCACCAGCCTCGATTTTGGCAGGAGGAGCTGGCGAAGGCAACATTAGCATGCCGATTTCAGGATCATGGCTCCAGGGTAGCCTTAACCGGGCTTCATTGAAACGATGCGTAGCAGCTCTCCAGCAGGTATTGCACCTACCATGGTCGACAATCAACCTCTCTACCCATGTGGATTGTCCGCTGGACCACCTTCAAAGTACCCGCGTAATGTGCCTGGAGCTTTTCTTTAGGGACAATTACGACCCGGCGGAACTCACCTGGATTCAACGATGTGATCGCCTCACCCTCAATTTTCGAGGTACCACTGAAAAACTTGAATGGTGTACTTGGGACATTGCATTCGCAATCCATGGCCAGAGGGCTCTCAAAGCGATTTGGATACAAAAACCTGATGACAGGCGTAACGGCGACTTATGGACAATTGGATATGACTTTGTAGAAGGCTTGGGAACGATTAAGGGGTTGCAATGGAAACAAGAAGTTCGGGAAGGTTTGCTGCGACGCGAAAGTATATCTTAGGGCTCTCAGGGTTGATCATGTTCACCACGACCTGAAGATCTGGGAGCTTGAGTTGTTCCCCTTGTGGAAGTAGCATCTGCTCACGTCTCGATGTACGTAGTACGAACAAAGACTGAAGTTAACATCATGGAGGATATAAGGTTTAAAGCTACCCCTTGATCGATCGTTAAATTTATGTGCGTCTTCATAGGTGCGTTCTTGTGAGATGAGGGCCGAATGTAGCGCCGCGCACGCGCCATGCTGACGGTGACTCGTCATCCCACAGTCTGGCATCTTCCTCATCTCTTCCATCCTGGCATGTATCTTCCACATGGTCGGGGTTGGCGGGCGGTCCAGAGCGTGCGATAACTGCAAAAGTCGACGCGTCAAATGTGGTAGGTTTGCCCTGTTTACCCCTGCGCTATTCCGACGCGTGTGTTGACGTCACCAGATCTACGAAAGCCACAGTGCGGAAGGTGCGTCACAGCACGACTACAATGTGGTGGCACCCGCGGCATCACATTCGTACAATTCGATGGCCACGGCCAGTCTGCCCAGCCTAGCGATCGCGATGTCGCCGGGTGCTTAGCTGTGGAAGTCGGCACCAGGACGCCTGACACTGCTATTCGACTTCACCAGGGAATTCATCGAGCATTGTCGCCTTCTCGCGATGATGTCTTCACTGCGTTCACTCTCTCAAACTTATTGCCGGTGCAGAGCCTGTTGGTGTTCAATCCTGGGGTTATTACCATCAAGTCACTTTCTGCGCTTGCGACTTCTTACTTCGGCATCAAGCACCAGGATAGAGCTATCACGCAGTACGGATTCAAGAGGTACAGTGACGCACTTAGAGCCGTGCATTCGGCTCTTGAGGCTTCGGTGTCTCCGCCTTCCTTTGATCTGATTGAGGCGGTCATGCTTATGGGACTCATCGAGGTACATCAAACGTTCTGCAGTGCACACATTTTCTAACCGCTACTAGTTCCTCATCTCGGATCGTGTCGATGGTTGGATAAACCATGCACGTGGGCTAGAAAGGCTCTTCGAGTTGCGCGGACCTGAAGCTATGGCATCACCTCAGTGTCTTGGGATCTTGGATAGGATTCGCCCGTCTCTTATCTTTGCAGCTATTGTCTTGCACAAGCCAACGATAATGTCAGAGGATAAATGGAAATACATCCCCTGGAGCTTACACCCTGAACACATCGACTCGCTCAAGCTCTTGTTCGACATTATTGCCGACTACCCTCAGCTCTTCATTTTGCGTGATGAGCTTTTGTCAGTTGCGGATGAAGACACAAGGACTGCTGAGACGCAATGTCTCTCTTTGCAATGTCATGAGGTCATCGCCAAACTGAAAAACTGGAGGGAGACTTTTGCGTCTGATCCGTTTCACACCTCTTACGAGACACCTGCATGTCAACCGATACCGCTCATAGAAGACGAGTATGGCGCGTTGCATCCAGCTTGGTCTACTGCCTTCAGATACCGATCACTCTATCACGCGAACGCTATCACAGTCTATAACGCCGCTACCATCATGGCCCTCCGGTTCGCCGACAGCATCGATGCTGAGATGATGTCATCTTCAGCCTGCCATACCCGACAGGAGCAGATATCGACAGCGGCGCTCACTATATGCCGTAGCGTCGAGTACCATCAGTTAGAGGACTGGGGCGAACAGGGCTCTTTTGAACTGCTCTTTCCTCTACGCATGGCATATGATGGGATCCGCGAGAAGGAGCCGACAATAGCATCATGGATCACATCCGTCATGCAAGACATGTCGGCTGGTAGACGAGGGCCCTGGAGATCCGCGAAAAGCATCCTAGATGTTGGCAAATGAGCTCGTGGTAAAGCAGAACGATGGTACAACCATTCTATCGTATTGACATGGGAGCTTGTATCAGGTCGGCGCTATCTTTTTATTATTACATCCACCCGTCCAACGACTCAATGACGATGTACTCCATCTTCTCGACCATCTTCTGCTCCTTCTCCAACTTCTTACCCTTCTTACCATGAGCCTTTTCCCCTTTCTGGTCCTGCTTCTTGGGTCTCCTTTCTTCCTTTCGCGCCTTCTTCTCTTCTTTCTTTACTCGTTTGCGCTCCGCTTTGTCTGCTCTTCTCTTTTGTTTACCGTAGACCTCACCATGAGATACCAGGGTGGACTCTTCGTCGGAGCTGATGCTAGACTCTGCACCAGAACAGGAGTCTGAGCTGTAGCCCTTTTGTTCTTTCTTCTTGATACGTCGTTCAATCTGCTTCGCAGCCATTCTATCGAGAGCATTTCGCTGCTCTACCGGCGGCGGAACGTTGAATGACAGTGGTGCGATATACGGCGTGAGTGCTTGCAATCGGCGGTATCCAGCTGTTTGAGGCCAGGAGCTACTTCCTAGCACTCTTTGCCAAGTCAGAAACGGGGGATCCCTACAGCAGGGCTAAACTTACGCCGACGATGGCATGTGCACATTGTAGCCAAGTTTCTCTTCCAACTGTCTGTTCTTGCAAATCGAAGCTTTCAGACCACGAGGCGCAAAGTATTCTCGGTTCACAGCCTCCAAGAAGCGCCGCGTTCGCATAGTTGTCGTAGCAGCCGTTCCAACTCCTGCGACCATGTTCATACTGGCGCCGGCCATCATCGTCCAATGATGTGGTCTAGCACTTGTATGAGAAACCGGTAAGAGCCAAAAAGAGAAGTCAACTCACACGATGCCAACCACATGACCCGCTGCATCAAGTGCCTGAAGCGGAACTGGCGGAGCTTGAGCGACACTGAGATCATCAATGAATGCTACAAAGTCTTTCTCGTGGATATTGAAGCGGCGCAGATCGGGGCTGTATGCTCGTATAAATGGGAATGGTGTTCCAAGTAGACCGCTTGCGTCGAGTCTTGGTATCACGACGGGTTTCTAGACAGGTCAGCAATGTTTATTGGCAATGTTTGAAGAGTGGCTAACCTGAAGAGATTGTCGTGGCTGGATTGGACTTGTTATGTAAGGTGTCCAATCTATGGCGTGATGTAAGAACTCATTATCCCGTGGAGACAAGCTAGTCGGTGGTAACGGTGCAGCGTTGTATGAACTATGTGCTCGATGCGGCCGCTCGAAAGAGTGGCTCTCGTATGAAGGAGGTTCTAATGGCATCATGATAGTATGGTATCGAGATTGTATTGCTTTGTGATGAGTGATCTGACACCAGATATAAGTATCTCGAGCCTCAGGCTCAACACAATAACGGAGCTGCTTTGATAAGCCGTGCACGTTGTTCCAAGCCCCCAGCTATGTGTAAAAAGTCGTACTCCTCGGGACTCAGCCTTGCCAGTTACTAGGGACCAAACAATATCAAGCACAGTCAAGCTGACGGCCTCGTAGATCGCTGTCCCAATGTAGTTGATTTCTCGAGCTTACTAACCGCATGTTGTTTAGCGCGGCTAGCGTCGTTTCCTCGGATTACCCTTTCGGGTTCATTTCTCGAGATTGGGCCGATCAACAGTAGAAAGCGTGAGACAAATAGTAGATAGCATCCTATCACAAGAGAAAGCAGACGTTTAGTAAGTAATTGCTAGTCGTGCATCAAATAATCGACAGCGGCCTGCACGTTGGCCTTGCTAAGCCACGACCCGTTGCATGAGGTAATTGGGTAAAAGCGGTTCACCTTTAGCTGTAGTCTTGTGCCGTTACTACAGAACCCTATAAGACTATTCTGTACCTTAATAGCTTCTCTATGTTTGCGGCCTAGTGTTACTATTAGGCTAGATTAGTAAAATCCTTAGGCACCTTTAGTCTATTAAAATAGAATAATATAAAGATTAATTAAATACTAAAAGTAGATAGTAAAGCTGCCTCTATATGCTAGCTACTAAAGTAGCTAGAAACTAGCTACCTAAATATTTAAATTCTAATACTTTCTCTTAGAATTTAATAATTCTATGCTACTATTAAGGCTAGGCAGCCTTATTAAACTCTTTAAATTTTATAGAAAAAAGAAAGAAAAGTACTACTTATTACTTTAAGTTTAGCTAGAACTTTTTTATTTCTTTAGCTTAAGAGCTACTTTAAAGCGCTTAAAAGTAACTTACTATAAAAGCTTTATAAGCTTATTAGCTACTTAATTAGCTATTAAAATATACTTTAGCGTAATTATACTAGCCTCTTAAACTTTTCTAGTATAATACTATTAAATATTAATATACTTAGATTTAGCGTAGTTATTAAAGTTACTAGCTAGCGTAATTATACTTTAGTTATCTACCTTAATAAAGGTTACTAGTAAATTTAGATTTATAACTTAAAATTTAGCTAGTAGTTCTTTTAGCTAGATAGCTTTCTTAGTAGCTTAGGTCTAGCCTATATACTTAGCTTTATATAATAAAAGAGTAATAGTATACTAGTATTTTAAGCTCTAGCTAATAGCTACGCTTTCTAAATTAAATATATAGCTAAAAGTAGAGCGCTACTTTTTTAGATTACTTTTCTAATTAGCGTCTATATAGTCTTAGAGAGCTTATAATTTACTCTTATAGACTAGAACTAGCTTATTAGTACTTTTAAAGTACTACTAAAGGTACTTTATAGTAGCGTAGTAATTCTCTACTAAGTTAGCTATATAGTAGCTAAGGTAGTCTATAGTAAAGATAATATTAAGCTTTATACTTAATATTAGGTATATAAAAGATTCTATAGCTTTCTAGTAGTATTTAATATTAGACTTTAGAGTCTAAAAGTCTTTTAGTCTAGACCTAAAGTAGCTTTTTATAAAGGTACTATTAGAGCTATACTTAGCTATGCTAAAGTTATCTAGAATTTTAGCTAAATAGCTAGCTTATAATAGTCTAAGAGTCTTATTAGAGTAGTTATAGATAATCTCTATACTTAGGTAAAAGTAGTATTTACCTAAGTTACTTATTTTAAATCTAGCTAAAAGAGTAGTTTTAAGTGCTAAGATTTTATCTAAGCTTACTTTAGTAATAAGAAAGTTATTAATATAGATAGCTATAAATAGAAGGCCTTTAGTAAAGATTTCTAGATCTAAAGTAGTAGAAAAGAAGCCTTACTCTTTTATAAAATTAGTAAGAGTATTATACTAGATTTTTAGGCTCTATTTTAGTCTATATAGAGCTTTACGTAGGTAATAGAGCTTCTTTTTACTACTTTTAAGCTTATAAAAAGATTTAATAAATATCTTAGTATTAATATCTTTATAGAGAAAAGCTATCTTAATATTTATTTAGTAAATTTCTAGGTCTATAGTAGTAGTAATAGCAAATAGTGCCTTATAGCTTATAAGCTTTACTACTAATATAAATATTTTATAGTAGTTAATACTTTCTTACTACTTAAAGCCTTTTACTATCTAGTAGGCTTTATAGCGTAAGACTTTGCCTTAGAGGCCTTTCTTAATTTTAAATACTTACTTACTACTTAAGGTATACTAGGTTACTTTAGGCACTATATTCTAAGTTTTATTAGCTTCTAGTAATATAATTTTATTATTAATAGCTACTAACTAGAAGAGCTAGTGTAAGCTTTAGTAGGCTTTCTTATAAGTTTAGAGCTTACTATTCTTAATAGCTATAAAAGTAATACTATATTATTAGCCTAAGTAAGTTTTAGCTAGCTCTAGAAGCTATAGTTTAGAGTAATATTTTAGAGTATTAGTAGAGATAATATAATCTAGTTTACTACTATTACTAGCTAGAGATATTAATAGTAGCGTTAACTATGCTAAATTCTAGAGCTTTTTAGGTATTATAAATTTAAGATTTTATAGATTACTAAGTAGTATAGTAACTCTCTTAGCTTCTAAAGCTAGACTAATAAGTAGTATAGTAGAAACTTCTCTAGCTTCTAAAGCTAGACTACTAGATAGTATAGTAGGTTTCTCTTATAAATTAGTATTAATTTTAAGTAGTTTAAAGAATAGATTTCTACTATTACGCTTCTCTCTTTAAGGTACCTAAAATTACTTCTATAATTACTAAGAAGTATTTTCTCTCTTTCTTTTCTAGCTAGCTTAGAAGTTTATAGTATATAGTCTATCTTCTAGGTAGACTAGGTTATATATAGTTATTACTACTCTATCTTCTCTAAGAATATAGTATACTAAGGCCTCTTTATAGCTAAGTAAGTAGTATAAAATACTTTTATTCTTACTAATCTTATTTCTTAGACTAGTCTTATAGCTTAGGCACTAGCTACCTAGAAGGTAAAAGTAGGTAATATTAGAGACTATACTAAACTAAGCTTAGTAGAGTATTATATTTAAGTAAATATAAAGAGTTAGTATTCTTAAGTATACTACTAATCTAATTAGATTAGACTAGAATTTTATATTTAGGCTGCTATTAATTAGTATAGTATAAAGACGTTCTTCTAGAATTTAATTTATAACTTTAGCTATACTATTAGACTAGTACTAATTAGTTACTATAAATTTAGCTATAATTCTCTTATTTTATAAGAAGGCTAGCATTTTATTACTAGTAAATTTACTAGCTTTATTAAGGTAAATTTAGTAGCAGCGCTTCTTAAAAGTCTTTTAGCGCTTTAGATAGCGCTTAATAGCTATTAAAGCCTTACTATAAGTAACTATTAGCGTTACTATAGTAAATCTAGTAGTATTATTTATAATAGTAAGCTAATAACACTTACTATAGCGCCTAGATAGTAATAGGCTAATAGCGTCTATATAAATAAAGTCTAGTAAGTACTTACTACGCTTTAAGAGCTTATTATATAGTATTTAGATAAATTTTACTTTTATATAAGTATTATAGATATAAGCTAGTAAAAGTAGTTTTATTCTAGTAACTATCTTCTAAACCTTTTCTAAACTATCTTACTTAAAATAAGCTAGCCTTCTATACTATAGCTCTAGTTAATCTTAATTTAGTAAATAAGTAGCTATTACTATAGGCTATATCTAAAGGTAGAAGAAATATAGCTTATATACTTAGTTATAGTATACTATAAGGCTCTTTAGTGTTAATATACTAATACTATTTAGTATAAAATTTATAATAGCACTACGCTTCTATAACTAGAAAACTAAGACTAAGTTATAGCTAGTAGTAGAGAAGTAAAAAGTATTAGAAAGGTATAGCCTCTTTAGCTCTCTATTAACGTAGATAATAAGTTAAATTATACTAACTATTATAAATTATTAGCTAGCTTCTCTAAGGTCTACTATTAGTAGTCTAGTATATAGCTAAAGGCTTTTAGGTAGAAAAGTAGAGTATTTAAAGAAAATATATCTACTATAACTAGTATTTAGAGCTTAATTATTTAGTAAGGTATAAAGCTCTTAGCTTACTATAAAGCTAAATCTACTTTCTTTAAAATTAGAAAGTAGCTACTAGTAAGCTAAGCTATCTACTATTAGCGCTTAGATAGCCTAAGTCTTTACCTTTCTAGCTAACTAAGCTTTACTTACGTTACTATACTTCTAGATTTTACGTAAATAA